CGCCGGTGGGAGATTACCTAGATTGGTGGCTACTCTCAGCTTTGGACACCTGCCTCTTCATGGGCCTTTGCAAGGCGTGGAGACCGTCTAGAGGAGGGGTTTCAAACTCAAACCCAGGGGACCAGATCTGGGCCCACAGGATGCTTAGATCTGGCCTGCGGGGCCGGCCTGGAAGCAGTGGCTGCGGTGCCTCTGCGAGTGAAAATGGAGGTCATCGCAGCTGAAAATGGAGCTCAAGAGGGCTTCGTGCAGCTCTCTCAGGCTCGGTTTTCAGTCGCAGAGGACTGCAGGAGGCTGTCGCAGCCGGAAACAGAACTCGGGAGCCGTTTTCACTGGTAGAGCGTTCTGGCCATTAAAGACGCCCCTGACACAAATGACATCGAGCTGGCCACGCCCATCCTGGCCATGCCAATCCCAGCCCCTCAAGATCAAATACAACCTTGATGCGGCCCTCAATGAAATCGAGTTTGACACGCCTGGTCAATAGCGTGTTGCAACGCAGATGGCACCGGACAGATGTTGCCCAAGCATTGCCCGTTTATGAACGGCGGGCCCTGCACGCTTCCTCCCCGGGTAACGTGTGTGCGCACGCGGAACAGGGTTTTGTTTTTTTTCAGCCTGTAAAATTTCACGCCCACAAAAAAAGAGCTTGTAGCCTGAGCCAGCCACTTTGCTTCAGGCATGTAAGGATCCTGCTGCTTTTGATCGCAGAGTTCCTTTGAAGGGAAAAAAAGGAAAGGTTTGTCATTATTACCCTTGCTGCGTTTAGAGGAGCGTTCGTCAGCTCCTGTGTCACGCTGGGAGAAAGAGCAGTTAAGCAAATAAGACGTCTCTTGCCTGAACCTGGAGGAAAATGAGCAGCAAGCCAGAACCGATTGACCAGCAAGCTGCTCGAGCAGGAGTGTCAAACTCGATTTCATTGTGGGCCGCATCAAGGTTGTATTTGATCTTGAGGGGCTGGGATTGGCATAGCCAGGATGGGCGTGGCCAGCTCGACGTCATTTGTGTCAGGGGCGTGTGTGGCCTGTGTGGCCCGAGCGCTCTGCCAGTGAAAACAGGCTCCCGCAGCCAGTCCCCCCATTTCCTGGTGAGGGGGACACATGCCCCACGCATCTCACATGCACCAATGGCCTCGCAGAGGCCGTTTCAGCAAACCCTAGCTACCTCTTCTCTTCTCTTAGTGGCGGCTGCAAAAAGAACAGCAGGCCCAATGATGGTAGGGCTGGCAAGAGTGCGCCAGAAACAGAGACAGAACTTTTGGCCCTCTCGGGATCAGCTGATCCACGGGCCGCTGGCCGAGCTTAAGGGGTCTCCTGCACCTCAAAAATTATCCCCGAAAATAAGGCCAAGTGCTTACTTCAGGAGCCAAAAGAAAATAAGACTGTGTCTTATTTTTGGGGAAACGCGGTACTTTCTCCCACAAAGGTCCCAAGATATTGACCTGACCTGATCCAGAGACTGGCCAAACCCAAATGAAGTTACTTTTATCAAGACTGTTGCGTTGGAAACCTCTGTTTTATGTTTATTGGCATAACAGCAGGGGTGAAATCCTCCTGGTTCGGCCCGGTTTGGCCAAACTGGTCAGGACGATTGTCCCTGGTTCTGTGAACCAGTAGTAAAAAAAGTTTCCGAGGATCATGCGGCTCACAGCTAAGATGTGTGATCGTGGGAAGCTCCCCCCTCCCACTTTTAACGCATTTTTTTTCCTGCCGGTTCTGGCAAATAGGCAAGAAAACAATGCTTTAAAAAGCAGAAATGAAGTTCGCCATGCCCACCCAATCACACGACCCCACACCAGTGGTGGGATATGACCGATATGCCCCAGTACGGGCATACCGGTGCCTGCTGCTAGCACCAGGTACCGTTCCGGTACGATGCTCTGGAGGGACCACCCTCCCGCACTCCTTACCTGTATTTGCGCTGTTCGGAGCTTACGCACACGTTGTGTACGGCGCCTGCGCAATGCTCCACTGAGCAGCTGGAGCGTGACGGGCAGTAAGTACGTCTGCACGCGTGGTGCGCACGTTCATGTGGTAGACGCCTGGCCCCATTGCACTGTACCAGTTGCAACAGGATCTGGAACCCACCACTGCCCCCCCCACACACACACACAAACACCAAGTCACATGCACAGAACCAGTGAGCAAAATAATTAGATTTCACCACTGACATGACAGCCAGTATTGTGGGTTGTAATTGATGCTTCTCTGTGTTCTCGCTGTGCCCGGTGGCATGACTGCCACTTGCTCCTCTCTAGGCCCCTCGCTGGTTGGACAAATAAAAGATTTCGTCTAATCCTGGTGATAAATCCTGCCATCTGCCTCGGGTGGGGGATGGAGGGAGAGAGAGAGAGGAAGCGGCTTTGCTTTGGCCATCCGTCTCCGGAAGGATGGACATTGGCTGCCTGGAAGGGAAAACTGCTTTCTTCTCTCTGATATTTACGCAAGGAGTTTGCTTGAAACGGATTCCAGAAACGCTGTCCAGTCCAGTCGCATTTCCAATTAGTCACCGCCGCTCACACTGCCTGCTTTGTTACAGCTATTCTACAGGAAGGATTAAGCCAACGACCACAGTGGCTTTGAAGCCACCGCACTGGCCATTGGGCCGTGTTGCTCGTCGTTAAGGATCTCCCGCTCAAGGCTCTTTGGCCTGCTGGGCTCCCTTGCGTTTTTACAGATTAACAGGATTAGAAGGGACCTTGTAGGTCATCTAGTCCAACCCCCCCCCCCTGCCCAAGCAGGAGACCCTACACCATTTCCGACAGATGGCAGCCCTGTTTCTCCTTGAAAGCCTCCAGTGATGAAGCTCCCACAACTTTTGAATAACAGAATAATAACAACAACAACGTTGGAAGGGACCTTGTAAATTAGATGATCCCACAACTTCTGAAGGCAACTTCTGTTCCATGGGTGGATTGTTCTCACTGTCAGAAAATCCCTCCTTGTTTCCAGGTTGACTCTCTCCT